ATTATTATATTCATTTATTATTCGGTGACTAAAAATAGTTTTATTACCACTGATAAACTCCGCAGAGACAATTGGATTCCTAATTTATTATTATTAATATTGCAGTTGTCCTTTGTATTACTTTTAATGAATGAATCCGATTTAAGCACATAATAACGGTATAGCATAAATGCGTTTATAACGTAAGCGATTATTGCAATTTTTATTTTTTAATATCGCGTTTTAATCATTTATATTAGACTGTAATAGAATATATAAATTATTATTAATGTCATTGGGGTATGTAATTAAATTGATTTATTAGCTACCTTCGTTTGGACGAAGGCATCRCTATATATAATATCATCGTAATTAGTTAACATTATTAAATAAACACAAGTTGAACTTGTTCAGACAATATATTTTTCGTTTTCCTTTAAAGTCCCAATTAAATCTCAGAACCAAAATACACATGTAAAAGTCATAATAAGATCCCATTTAGTCATAAAGTATATAGATTTAGGACCTCGCCAAACCATCTGAATTGCACTCAAACTAAGCTTTTTGAAATAATATTACCGATGTCCCATGATAACATTACACAAATAGTTTTCAACAAATCATGAATGTTAATGACCTTGCCTAACTTCATCAAACATATTTATTTTTAACTTACCTCCAATACTAACTCAAAAAACTATGCCCTCTTTTATTATCTACTCCTGATAAAGTGATAACCATCCACGCATGATTACATGAAAATGGATTCATGAACATATTTAAGATTAAACTARAAATAATGCAATTAGGTATTACCATTGATTTTATAATAATTAATAAGTGTTATAGGTATTGTATTATAAAATCAATGGTATTACCAATGGGTAACTTCCTCAGTACGCCATTTATACCACTTAAAGTTATTGATTACCACAATCATAATMACTTATTTTAACAACGTAATTAAACAGATTTATATAAGATTAAAAAAATCTTGTTTTTGTAAATCCCAATTAAATTAAAAAAAAACAAATGCATACAATTATTCTAAAAATTACTCTCGTKCCGCACGTTTCTGATGAGAATTTAATCTCGAGAGAATAGGTASTTTAGATGGGTCATTTATGTATGTTGTCGTTTTAAATACAAAAACGATTAATTATGGCATTTTTAAGACTATTCCAAACATAGGTCTTTGAGTCCTATGCAGTTAAACCGTAAATTTAACTTCCTTCCTTTTGTTCTTTTTGTCGCAACAATTTTGTAAAATAATGAGAATATTTTGAGATTCTAACGCTCTCGAAGTATCATCCACATGTTAGTTTCAAAACATTGTATACATTTTTTTTTTTTTTTTTTTTTTTTTTTGTATGATGAATTAATTATTTTAAAAACACGTCATCGTTATAAAAGTAAAGCAAGTTTTCTATAACTGTCTGGTACCTATATACGAATTTACGCCAAATGWATTTAATTGAATATTATCCAAAAATAACAGAGTAATGATCGYATGATCGCAAGGTATATTTTCATTATTCTCGTATAATAATATTACTAAGAGCATTTCTTAATTATTAGCATATTGTAAAATTATTTTGATTTTTCAGAGTGTGTTAAATCTTTAATCTTAAATCTTTC